TTTGGAAAGCAAAAAAATATTATTACTGTTACGAGTACATGGTACAATAACCTGCATACAATTCAAAATTTAGACCATTATTATGAAAGACAAAACAGTAATATAGAGATAATTTTTTTATATGATTTTTTTATATAATTTTTATGTGTTATTAAATAAATACATACACTTAATATCATAAATCTCAAATGATAAAAAGTTAATTATTTAAATAACATATTAAATTATAAAAAAAAAATTGTTCTTAAATCATTTTACTGTCACGTAGCAGATAAGGAACGAGTAACCTAGACTAACCCAACAAAACCTGATATGCTAAAAGTTCTAAAATTAACAATTAACTAACAGACTTAATAGCTAACAGAACTAACAATTAACTAATAGAACTAATAAAAAGTTCTAACCTGATGTTGAGTAAATATTATTTTTTTCAATTCATATAGGTGGAGGTTAAAAGTGTTTAAGTATAAGGTGATGGGTTAAAACCTATAAATTTATTAAGGTAAAGGGCTGAAAATAGGTTTTTAACTTGAAAGATTTGTTTTCAAAGGCTCAACAAAGCATACGACTACATAAGGCAAAATATGCAGATTAACTCCTCACCTTTTTTAGCAGTGACAGATTACCCCCTCAACCGACTGAATTCACGTGCAAACTCACCCTCAGAGTTATCGTCAGTGGCCAAAAAAGCCCTTCTCTTACTAAATATGTTGACTGGACCCCTCCAACCGTGAGCTGGAATTTTTTGGTTGACATGTCATCCACCTCATCAAATTTAGAAAAAAAAAAACAATAATTATGAGATTCATAAATGGATTTATTTAACTTGAACGTGTAATTAATATAAAAAATAATAAAAAATAATATTAATTTTATCATTAATTTTATATATCATTTTAATTAAAAAATTAATTAAATAAATATCAAGTGTTCTTTTAATAACAATTAATATTAAAAAAATATTCTTAACCTATATCTTCAAAATACAAGTTAAAAAAACCCTTCATAAATTAACTTTCAAAATCCTTCAAATTTACAAAACTTGGCTCTCGGTTACTCACCAAGCATCTCTTCTGCAAATTCTTAATTTTTAAACACAAATTTCCCATTAAGGGAACAAGAGGCCAATAATAAGAGTAAAACCAAACCAGAGTTTATACCGATTTGATGCTCAAATTTAAGCAAGAAATCAACACTCTTGTTTTTATTTTTAATTTTTTTTTATCAAGGTACATAACCCAGTCAAGTAAGAAAGCAACACTTTTTTAATGTACAAAGAAAAAAATTTTATTAAAGAAGTAAAAGAGTACCTCCACCCATTACATTACATTTTTATTTAGAGATAAAAAATCATCGGCACAGCTCCTCTTAAGCAATTCATCAAACTTTTGGTAGGCATAAAAAAAATTCTAATTTCCAACCAAGAATCCAAAAATTTGACACATTATCTTCGAGTAGTACAAATTAGAGCATTTATCAACAAAACAAATCACTAATCTCTCCAAACCAGTAAAGAATATGGAATTTGTATACCTTGAGTTGAAACCAACATCCTCTGCATCTCCATCCATACAAACCACCGAGTACCGGCTTGATTCTAATTCATTCTTCCTCTGATTTGTTGTTTCATTGCCTTCTAAATTGATAGCACCAAGCTTCGTTGCTTATTGTTGGAAAATTATTCCAAGAGCTGCCTCTGTTCTACATTTTGTCTCATCCAAAATGCTGTAGCCCCTTTTGTAGTAGCTCCACGTGGTCCCATGAAATCTCTAGCCAAAACACCTTCACGCGGCTGTAATTTGGAGGCGAGCGGGCAAGCCAGATCCTTCGCCGTGAAGGCCCTGGCCTCCAGGAAACCGAGACCTTCCTCTTCGAGTGCAATTTATCCCACATCTGGAAGTTGCAGAGATCCTGTTGAGAAAAGAGATAGAATGGGACGGGGGAGAGATGAAAAATGAAATTAAAATTTTGTTAAGAAAAGAATTAAAAAACAAAAAAAACAAAAAAAGCTAAGAAAACACTGGCATGCCATCAAATAATAGCCACCTGACCTGCAGCTCCAGGGCGTCGCTAAAGTCACCCGTTGAATTGTTAAATGTTAGCAAAATTGTATTTAATTTAATTGTTATTGATAATTTAAAAAAAAATAATTTTAACATTAGTTTATAAATTGATTTTAATTAATTAATTAATATGATCAATCAATCCTTAATAATTAAAATATTTTAAAATTAATTGTTACATTACAACAAAATAATACTTATTTATTATTGAATTTATTAGTAATAATAACCACACCAACATACAACATGTAAAGACTAATATTTCATGCTAAGAATGCCGTAATTAAAAAAAAATTATATATTATATTTATATAAAATTTTAAATTTTTTTTTTACTTTTAATAACTATAATTAAAATTTTATAAAAGTAAAATGAAATAAGAATGCCGTACAAGGCAACCTAGCTTATTAGTGATTAGAAGGATAAAGAAAAGAGTTGTCTGTCTGTTCGTCTGTCTTACGAAAACTAGTGACAGTAGCTTCCTCTAAAACCTGAAAAAACCAGAAGCATTTTGACGTTTCTTGAATCTTGATGCAGTGAGAGCATTGAACTCAATCTTCCAACAATGGGGCATACAGGCACCGCCGAATTCCTGGAATATCAGCGGCGAACTATGCAATGGAACTGCTCTGAGCCAGGACGACACCGTTTTCGAAGATCCTTCCAACAATCGGGCCATCAGATGCGATTGCACCTTCGATAATGGCACCACCTGCCACATCAGCAGACTGTAACTCACTCCGTCTCTTGTTGCTCCGGCGAACGCATTCATTTCTCTTTCGAACTTTTGATCGGTTGCGGAATTGCACACTAACTGTTTGTTCATTTTCACAGGAAAGTGATTGCACTGAACATACGAGGGGTGATGCCGGAGGAGCTTTTGGCTTTCAAATTCTTAACCTATCTGTATGGTTTCTCTTTTTCTTTTGCTCGTAGAAGTAGAATATGACATTTTATCATTTTCCTGGAGAGTTTTTAAAAGTACTGAATTGTTCGTTGTTTGATGATGAAGGAACCTCCAGCAAAATTACTTTACCGGTACCTTGCCGGCATGGATTGGAAATTTATCTACATTGCAGTCGTTGTAAGTGTGGATTCTGGAGGTCTTATGAAAGCATTTTATTTTACTTTAATAAGTAGCATTTATCAAAAACTTTTGAAACTTCCATGCTTAGTTTTTCTGATTTTTTGTTCCAGAATTAAATCTCTTTATTGTCTAGAATACATGTATCTATCTGTCAATTACATCTTACCTACCTTATTAAAAAGAGGCATTGACCCTTGATTATGAAGCTAAACCATTGAAGTGCTAAAGATCTTCAACTCTGTGAAGCGAAGCACTTTGTATTTTCTTCAGTGTCTCATTTTATATGCCAGCATTAAAAACCATCATTTACACTGATTACCATTGGTACATCTCACTTATTTTCTGATTGTGGTGATCATGCCTATTCCATAGGTAAAACTAATTGATTTTGGCGTGTTATTTTTGCTAATTCTTATTTGAGAAGCCACTAGTAATTTTGTGGATTATGTTCTTTGTGTCAAGGTCTATTGCCTACAATGCATTCTCTGGGCCCATTCCTAAGGAGCTCGGAAATCTTAAGGAGCTAACTGTGCTGTAAGACTCGAAGAAATTCTACCTTTGTCACATAATGCATCAATTTATTTATTTATTTATTTTATTTATTTATCTGCCTTTGTAATGCATCAAATGGTTCTGTTCCACCACACACATGTAGCCTCTAAGTTACATTATGCACAAATTTGGTCCTTGGTGATTATGAAAGTGCCTTTATTATAAAATGAAAAATCAATTCAATATTATGTTGAGAGGATCTGAAAGTCTGGAGAGAATTTGCTTTTGAAGGGTGAGACAGCCACAACTATAATATGTAAAA